TTCGAGATTATACTGAGTGTACATTAGTGAATTTATGCTCAACCTAATCGGCGGAAATTTATAACAGTGTAGTACCTCGTCCACATCAGTTAAAACCGTTTGAAGCCATCTTCTACTCACGTAAGTAATGAGCCATGTGCCGGTCAATATTGGAAGTGGAACGGCCGGTGGACAGCTATTCAGAAACTGAAGAAATAGAACATTTTCAAGTTTCAATCGTATTCTGCCCACTTCTGCTCTTCAAATAAAAATCGAAATAAAGTATAACTCGCAAATGATATATATACTTCACACGACGACGCTACAGAATGGAACATCGAAAGGTGACTTTTGCATGAACGTCATATATTGCGCTCTCACAGTAAACATTTAGACGTCTCACCTTATTAAAGGCTTGGGTAGATTTGCTATCCAACTGGTATTCCAGTGCAGGACTAGTAAAAAGATCTTTTGAGGTGGGAATCGAAATGTTGTAGAGAACCTTAAAATGGAAAAGCGTGATATAACTCGTATGAAATGCTGAGATATTTGCAAAACTCCAGACCGCAGGTGTATGCAGTGGGGAACGAACACGCGCTGTTGTCCTTACCGGTTAGCAGCGCACTTCACCACCACACCATCCGGATCATCAGTCTTGCCTGTCTCTCAGCTAGTTCTATCGATCTTTTGCCATCAGCAATCACCCGTCAACGGGATTGATCTGATGAACCCAGATCGGCATTGAACCGAGTTAAACTGAGGCTTAGTTATAATCACAATCTTAACCCTTTTATTTACTGCCTTTTTCTTCTTAATGGCAGGGTATGTTGCGAAATATAACTCGTATGAAATGCTGAGATATTTGCAAAACTCCGGACCACAGGTGTATGCAGTGGGGAACGAACACACGCTGTTGTCCTTACCGGGGAGCAGCGCACTTTTTTCGCACCGAGTGGAGTATTAGATCTGACTTCAAATTTACCAATTAAGTGTTCTTTTATGCGAACGCACAGTTGTCTACCCGTTTCCACAATATATTCGTCCCTGTACACTTTATAAGAGAATGGGTATACCGTATGCGAAATGTGATTCTTCGGTAGCAACCGAAGCCACACATAAAACCTTGGAGGACTTTCATGAGTGAAGGATGCGAGGAAGCTAATCGGAACCGAGAAGGGTTGGGATCGGCGCTTCAGATGTGAAGGACGGGTACTAAAAAATGAAAAAGTCATGTATTATTATTACTATGCATTATAATGTATTCAAGCTGTGCTCCACTGTAGAAGACCCAAGTTGATGCAAAAACGAAGACATCACATCGAGAATACGAACGGCTGTGGAATGTCGACTCAGACTATCGTCTCTAAAGAAAACGAAGACGTCGAAACGTTAGCTGGATAGAATTGTTTGTTAACATTGTGTTAACTTATCAATGAAAGAACACATGTTTATATATTGAGTTTTGTCTAATTAGTTTATAGAAGTATTTGGCTAAGCAGATTGCACGTCATTTTGATCCTTCTAGGCTCTAGAAAAGGCGAAATCCGTCGAAACATCAGCTTTTGTGAATAAAGCGAATGATCACGTTTTCTTATCAAGATAATACAGTGAATTGCTAATTAGTGCCGAGGTTAGAAGTCGACCACGGATTTTTATTATGATCACTGTCTTTCCCACTTCATCTTTTTATTCCTATCCCACTGCAACATCAGCCTTCGAAGGAGCTGACAGCACTGGGCAATTGCACGCTGCATAGGTGAGCTGAGAAGGCTTAAGGAAACTGTAACACTGGATCCGATGAAGTAATAAGGGCGTAAAGTCCATGTATCTATAAGGAATGTTCAGACGTAAAATGTAGATATTTCTTTCTGCTAAATGCTACATTACTGACCGTTTCACCGATTTCACGCATGGAGAGGATAACATTACGAAAAACTCCTTCAACAATATCCGAACCGAGGATAGGAAGAAATAAAATATCGAAAACTATGAGATTCTTCATAACAGTCTCATCAGTACTGATCAATCTGAATCAATAAATGAATGGTTCTGCTCATACATGTTATAGCAATGAAGAGAATTGAAGCAGGAGATAAAATCATAGTCGACTAGGTTCAGGTTCGGTATTTTAAGAAAATGTTCAGCACAAAGTACTTCCTCATCTGAATTTATTTTCACACATATAAAATTTCGCAAACAACTAAAAATAACTGTTATACTTTGTTTACTTTCATATGATTATATGAAACACAAACAAACACGAGCAATCTCAATTTCGGCAAAAACATCCGGTGATGTTGAACTGTAGTGTAAGCCGTCTCAAAAGGAATAGCACCAAACGGTACAAAATCTACCTATTGACAGGTAGAAAAGTAGAAGTGGAGATGGATTTACATCGAATGACCTTGACTGTGGTAGAACTTCGGTGACGTTCATCTACTGCGCGTTCGGTAGTTGGGTGAATAGCCTCTGGTGTTCGTAGATAGGACCAGTTTCAGTAATGATCTTGTCCGGTGCGCTTGGCGAAATCCCGTACCTCGTTCGGGTACGTCAGGTCGAAAAAGTACTATACACAACCAGTTTGCAAAGAAGCACACTCCCCATTTCACCATTATTGAATGGTGCAACAATCAATAATCCAGGCCGAGGATGTAGGTTGTAGTGAAGTACTTGAGCTTATTCATTTTTATATTTCATGATCTCGGCAATGTTAAAACACCATCAGGGGTCTTCATAACGAATTTCAATGTACATTTCCTTGGTGAGCAACTAAATTCGAGTACTGGGAAAGTTCTAGTACTGCTGTCAAAATTTCAGACAGGTTCAACTTGACCATAATTCAATGTCATTCATGAAGAAGACAGCGCTCTCAAGTACCAGCTGAAAACACACGGAAGTACGAAGACAGTCGTGAGTGATAGATGGGAGGCCTCGAATCGAGTGAAAGAACTATTACCATCCGCACAATATGCGAAGCAGAGCCTTATAAAAAACACGGTAAAGCTCTCGACGTTGATTTATCTCTGAGAGAAGCGCCATGCATTCGACTTCATTAGGCATTGCTGGAGGTGATTGAATGCATGTCTACCGTTTACAATGACTCTCGGTGGTCTACTGATATATCGAGTCAGTGCTCCCATCCTCCCAGATAGGCCTGGTACCAATTTGCTGACCCCAAGGGGATGGATGGCTTGGTGAGTCTGGGGCGCAGGGGTCGATCCCATGTGTACTGCAGGGCGTCTCCGCCCACTACGCTATACCCGCCCCACAGTCTTAGAAATTAATTAATTAGTTAGCTAATTAAATTGCAAGTACCTGCTCACAATACGTAAGTGCGGACCAAAATTAATAAGTGGTGTGAGCGAACGATTGGCTGAGCAGTTCTCAACCAGAAATCCTTTCCAGAACAAGCAAATTTCTCGTTTTAGGAGATGGAGAGAAGAGTCTACTCAGACTGTAACCTTCTCACGACCATGTGCTTTGGAAAAAAAATAAACATAAGCTGAATAAAGTCTTTTATCAACATTTTGTTGCCTTAGAAAAGAAATAATACATGCAAATCCATTTCAATATGTACGCTGCTGTACATTTCGGACCGTACACCTCGATTCCAATGCGCAGCTTAAGTGCGCTGCAATGATAAGCTGTCCGATGGGACATCCACGAAAGGTGGCCGTGGTCGTGAAAGGGTTGAATCTTTTGTGTGGTAACAACTATTTAGTGCACAGGGTTGGCCAAAACTGCTTTTATTTTACTATTTTCATGTAGATATAATGCTTTTTGACCACATAGCATCTTCATGACCCATTGAAGTCAATCGATGGCTTGTCGAACACAGATTTTATACTAGGACTCGCCTATGGATAGACATTTCCAGCTGTACTTGCAAAAAGCCCTTTTGGACGGTGGAATGGAATCGGTGGACATAAAAGATATAAAAGACCATAAAAATACCCTTCGAGTATCACACAAGACCATGGGGAAGGCTATAACAGCAAGGTTGGATAATAGACGATTTTTTTACCACATAAAAGAGGTGTTCAGATACACGGGAACATATATAGAAGAACATAGAGGATATGTGGAAGTTATAGAACTGATACTTGATAATTGAATGGCACATCCTCACTAGTTGTGCGGGCCTCAGCATAATCTCCATTTGTCGGAGATTTGCTGGTTGAGCCATTGTAGTTCGCTGGAATCCCGAGGTCAGTTTGGCCAAAGTTTGCCCCTGGTCTTTACCACCACAAGCAGTCGCAGCCCTTTTGGATCAGAAGGTGATTTCCCACCATGCGACTTTGATACCAGGACAGAAGCGGATCATGGTATTGGTTTACTCTTAGCTAGGCTTCCTGAAGGAAAGAGGCGGTAAACCGTTGGGAGGGAACTCATAGAAACATGGAGAAAATGTGATCAACCGAACAAAAGAACGAGTGTCCTCTAGAAACCAGTGCGTTCTGCATCTTGCGTGGGTTCATGGACCATACTTCTCAACTTCAGTGCGCGGTTCGATTGCGCTCCAATAACACGCGGTCTGACGAGCCGCATACACGAAACTGGCGGCGGTCGTGGATGGGCTAAAGACCACACTCTTCAGTAAACGTGCTCTAGTGCGTTGAGTTACTCTCACTCAATGCGGAGGCGCGGCATGTTTACTAAGGCCTCCTTTAGTTATGTAGTAGGCTTGTGATGTAAAGAGGTTCTCGGTTGTTCCTTGGGGCTTCAAGTCGTTCGTTTTTATTTCTGTTTTTCCTTTCCTTCTTTTTTTGTCTTTTACGGGTGTAATCGTTGATACATGGTGTCATGATGTTGTCAGTAGGTTTCTGGCCCCTATCTGTCTAATGTTAGTGAAGTTTGCTGTTCAATTCGTCATGGATCCCTTGCATAATCCACTGAGAAGAAAGCCTTTGCAGACAATTCATAATTTTCGTTTCTGAAACTCGTTGGGATTCACATCTTAAACGCAGGAGACCCTCTGAGCATGGCTGTGATTTGCAGTGAAGTGAGCGTCTCCTGGAACAATGGCTCCGCAGTTCCCTGATTTTCGAAGAGTTCGAAGAAGAATCCGAAGAACGCTGGGTTACGGAACGAAGCAACCTCAGTCTATCAATCTACCGCTTTCTGGTATGTTGGATTTGTTTCTTTGCTTAATTCTCTTTTTCTATTGAATGCGTAGACTTTTTTTTTTTTACTGAACTGCTTATTTTATTGTTACAGTAGTTTTTTCTCGGCTGAATGACTGTAAAGTTTTTAAGGCTTGCATACATATTTGAAGGAAAAAGAATGTTCTAAATACGTCATGTATATACATATATATGTATACGTTCATGTATATATATGTATATGTATGCGTATATATATATATATATATATATACATATACATAGAGTCCATTCTAGAGTGGACTCCAAGTGAATGCAAACGAACATTTACATGTTGGGCGGACGTGTTCGTAAACAAAGTTAATCAGCTGTGCCCACAGCTGCAGTTGTTTTATAGATCACGGTATGAGACTCGCAAGCGCTGCCATGCTCGAACAAGACCACCACCATGGACTACGATTGCTAGAGAAAGGATCGAATGGCATATGTGCTGGGGTCCGCACAGCTCGTGAAGACGAACCGTCCAAGTATCCAAGTATATATATATATATACATATATATATATATATGTATATGTATATGTAAAGGATAAAGTATGAAGTTCTCGGCGTTGATCAATCTCTGAGGGATGCGTCGTGCATTCCACTCCATTAAGCACCGTTGGAGGTGATTGAATGCATATCTGGCCTTTACATTGAATCGCGGTAACCTTTGGATGAATCGATCCAGTGCTGCTATCTTCCCGTACAAGTCTGGCACCAGTTTGCCAACCCCGTGGGGATGGAGTGCTTAGTGGGCCAGGGGCGCGGGAATTGATCCCGTATGTATCGCAGGACGCCTCCGACCACTGCACTACACGAGCCCACGTATATATGTGTGTATATATGTATATACATATATACATGTAAATATGTATTCATATATTAACGCGCGTATATGTGCGTATATGTATATATATACATATATACATATATGTATATAATATTGACTTTCTTATTTACTTCCTTTTACTAGCTTTCACGGCAGGATATTATTTGTTAAACAACCACAATGATGCTGAGATATTTGCAAAACTCCGAGCCGCAGGTGTCTGCGGTGGGGAACGTACGCGCTGTTACCCTTTCCGGGACTAATGCGTGACTACAACGCCATTCGGGTCCTTCGTTTCGCCTGTCTCTCAGCAGTTTTCTCTTTATTTTATTTACTGCCGTGGAAAATTGTAATAGGCAGTAAATAAAAAGTTAATATTGCATTACTATTTGTTACGAATTATGTAACTGCACAACGATTAAAGGAAGGAGAAGAGTGTACGCTGTGTACAAAAAAAGTGTAGAAAGCTAGGCAAACTTTTTTCTAGACTGTGTGCCTTATATTCAAATCCTTATGGCGCGTTAGAGCGTTTTTTTTAAACATAATATTTCATTATTTCTACTGCCACTGATGGTTCGACCCCACTCCGGGCTCATTGCTCCTAGGTCGAGAAATTATTACCATTCTTGCCTAGGGAAAGTTCACTCTATGCTATTCAAGTGAGAACGCTTTATTTGGTTGTCTCAAGACTCCAGGTAAATAAATTAAATGAGCATTCAGTGTCACTAATGACGAAGGGAAAATCCTTCAGCGGCCGAACTCACGCAAAAAGTTCCAAGATGTTCGTGGATGATGGATGCGAGGAAACGAATCGAATGCAGAACCGGCTGGGATCCGCACAATGGATGTCAAAAGCGGATCGTGTGATCGAAAAATTAAAAAAATGTTCTTTCATGGTCGATGTTTTTTATGTTTTAATGTTTTACTAGGGCGCACGTAACTCAGTGGTCGGAGGCGCTCTCCAATACACATGGGATCGATGCTCTCGCTCAAGTGTCAACGAGCGTTCCTTCTGTCCTGGGTTGTCAAATTGGTACCAGACTTGTCTGGGAGAATAGGGGGTTCGATATATCGGTAACCAACCTCGAGTCATTGTAAACGTCACATAGGCATTCAGTCATCTTTAACGATGCCGAGTGAAGTCGAATGCGTGGCGCACCCTTAGAGATTAATTAGCACTGAGAGCTTTCTCTTTTTAATGTTTTACTAGATGGTTTACACCTAAAATAAATTCCGTAATAGATATTGGAACTGTTTGCCAGCATACTCGGAGCGAAATGAATCATATTTTGCCTATACATAGTCGAAAATGCTCTAGCGATTCATCTTTCGACAAAGATAGATCAGCTCATAATGAAGTTTATTGTTTAAGATAGAAAACCACTAGAGTTTACAGATCCTTGGGGATTAAATCGATGTTTCCGTATTCTACTTATTATACTATGATGAAATTCTGTTTGGAACTCCTTCCATGAAAGTTCATATCTTTCCTAAAAACGTTGTACAAGTGGGATTCCCTGAAGCTGGACGCGATGACCTTCCCAAAAGTATCGCTTATGTTTTGGCTGCCTCGGCTGCGTGAGCAAATTTTAAAAAAGTATTTTTTTGAGGATTTGCTCCCCAAAAAAATTTAGGGTAAAATTATAATTTCACAAACGTATGATACAGGCTTAGAGGGGCAGGGTGATTTACTTTTCCAGTGTGACCATTCGGCGATAAATATGAGATAACCAAGCCACATTATCCCGTCATAGTTGGGCTTCTAATGTTTTTCTACAACAAGGTGTGTTCTCATTACTGAATACCACTTTTATTTCAGAGTTGGTTGTCGACTACTTTAACAAACGAAGTCCTTTTGACTACATGAGACCGGAGACGTCAGCGAGTATATCGGGTTGTGGATTTGCTGATCCATGTACACTTGTCGTTGCCATGGTCTACCTTGATCGACTTAGGATTAAAAATAAGGTTTGAGAAACTGATCTTCATCTATTTAAGCAGCCCGCTTTAACTTTCTGACGTTTTTTGAGCGGTGCGTTTCATTGTTTTGTAAGCTGTCAATGGATAACGCAGCAACATAAATCTCACGGGGCGTAAAATTTCGTAATTCTTGATCGTTAGGGTTTGTTCAACTAAGTCTTGTACTTCTTTCAGTTGAAGTGATTGGTCCATGAGAGTTGATATGCGGATTAGTTAAAACGTCCTGTTCGTTGTTGCATTGCGGTACACTATTAAAAATTAGCTGATCTAGCACACCTTGTTTCCCATTGTAGGTGTTTACATTCATCTTTAATTTATGTTTGTTCATTTAAATTACCCTTCCAACGGTCTACCGCCGCATCGTTTCTGGGAGGTGTTCCTGGGTTTTAGACTGCAATATACAGCGGGGGATTAATCCTCCTGTCAGGGTCTCCCAAGCTGAGGACGGGTCCGGCGTTTCCATCACGAAGTCCAGATAAGAGTAAACCAATACCAGGATCCGTCACTGTCCCGGTACCAAACTAGTCGCCTGGTGGCAAATCTACCTCTGATCTACAATGGCGGCGACTACCTGTCGTGGTGACGACCTGGGGCAGACTGGCCAGGCTGTCCTCGAGACTCCAGAACCGCAATAGTTAAATGAGAAAGTCCCTGAATAATGGAGATCATGCTGGGGCCCGCACAACCATTGAAGACGGGCTATCCAAGTATCCAAGTAAGATTACAGTGGTGCTATGGTTGCTCAGAATTGCAATGTATTTGAGAGCGTTCATCTCCAATAATAGTTTGTGGTTTTATTTTGATTCGGTTTTTATTGGATTCTCGTTGACATATATTCTCGCGGTTGCTTGATGTTCCAGGGATAGTTTAACTTTAGAAATGGTTTGAATCGTCTGATCCTACTGACCTTTATCTTCCTGCCTTGATAATAGCTTCGAAGTTTCTGCACGATTCGGATACCTACGATAGGGCATCTAATGCTGATTGGGCTGAAGCGGCAAAGATTTCAAACCAACACTTGAATCAACTAGAATGGGAGTTTGTCCAGAAGATGGTGAGATTTGCATCTTTTTTTCTTTTAGAGTATTGTTTGTTTCATGTTTATTGTGGCACCCATGAACGCTTTCAATTACGGTTTTCTAGAATTGGAACGTCATGGTTGGACAGGCTGAGTTCGATCGTTGGTTATCTTTCTTCGAGTACTGGGTAGCGAACAATTTCGTTATGAAAAATAATTTTTGTACGTACAATGAGTTGGTTCAGCTGGGGGTGTCATTTCCGCTAGTATCAACAATTCAGTGTTTGGCCTCGTTTTTTGGACTGTTGGTTATGGTCTATACTTTCTCAATTGCTTCACTGTTCGTTGTTCCATGCACGTTAACCACCATTAGACTTGGAATTGCGGAAAATTCATCGGGTACGCTTAAAACAGCTGCCTTCCTACCTCCTTTAATATCTCAAGGGCATTCTCGATTTTCATCCGCTCTGGAAGTTAAGCGAAGAAGCTGTTTATATTTGCAATTGTTACGTGAGAACGAGAACACTAGTGTAGATATACTGCGATATGAAGGATTTCTGGATCCATCGAGATGCTCTGAAAGTGCTGGAAAATCGTTTTGGGGTGGCTGTATACCTAAACATTTTTCTTCCAAACATTGTGCTCATTTAACGTGTCATATTCCTGGTTTCTCCATGTACTCATTTGACTAAGTCTTTTTTTCGAATGTGTGTTAATTGGTTTGTTGATGAATTTTCTAGGTAATTAGTAGATAATAATTACCGATAAAGATGATGAGATGAACTTTCTATTTGGAATGTTTGTCATGGTGTTTGAAACAGTTGATACAACTACTATAATGCTGAGATATTTGCAAAACTCCGGACCGCAGGTGTCTGCGGTGTGGAACGAACGCGCTATTGTCCTTTCCGGGGAGTAGCGCACTTCACCACCCCGCCACACGGGTCGTTCGTTTCGCCTGTCCCTCAGCTAATTCTATCGATCTTTTGCCATCAGCAATCGCCCGTCAACGGGATTAATCTGGGGAGCCCAAATTGGCATTGAACCCAGTTAAGCTGAGGCTATAGTTATATTCACATTCCTAACCTTTTTATTTACTTTTATTTATATGATCTTGTAAACAGATCTTGTTAAGCTGATGCGAGGTTGGTACAGGTCTTCGTGGTCGTTGTCGTTGTTGTTGATGTTGTTGGTCGATGACTGACGTTTTGATGATCCTTACTCTACTGTTGGTACATAGACGAGTGCTTCATCGTCTGTTCCACACAAGAACAGATGGATGAGTGCTTTAAATTGCCAGACCGACAGTCAGAGTATATAAAATTTACACGAAGAAAACCTACCGAGAACTGGTTTCAATTCTTAGACATCCAAATAGAGCTCTCAGTAAGTGCCTATATAACAAAATGATATCGCAAGCCAAGTAGTAAAAACATTCTAGTTCACTACCTTCCCTCTCATCTTTCACACATGAAAAAAGCACTTATTAAAAACGTGTACTGTACGGCTAAAAATGTGTGTACAGGAGAAGAGAGAAGGAAGGAGTCGCAAAGCCTGGCACCAAAAATAGCCATTTCTAATGGCTACGAAGTAGAAGCCACTCGGGTTAGAGGAAAACGTTGGGTAGTTTCCTAAAATAATATTTCGGACGTAAGTAAGATCCCCCTTAAGCTACCCTTCATATCAAATGGAATAAGTCACTCCATTAAAAAGTGCTTGAGAAAAAGTGGCCTTGAAAATTATGTAACGATTGTTGACATCCCACCCAATACCCTACGCCGTCAGTTAGTTCGAAACCGTCTCTATGATCGTTTGTGCAGCTCAGGAAACAGTATGATCTGTCCTAACGGGAGAGAGGGGGTTTGCATGAGTTCAGGTATGATATACTTGATCTCATGTAACGCATGTGGTGTGGAATATATTGTGGAAACGGGCGACCATTTTGTGCCCGCATAAAAGAACATCTAGGTGGGAAAGTTAAAATCGGTCAAAACACTTTAAGTACTGTTCGGCCTACATATTGCATGAGTTTAGGCATAATATACTTGATCTCATGTAATGCATGCGGCGAGGAATATATCGGGGAAACGGGTAGACCACTTTGTGTCCGCATAAAAGAACATCTAGATGGGAAAGCTAAAATCCGTTTAAACACCCCTCTAGGTACGCATAGAGCACAAAAGCACAATGGCGATGATTTTGAAGTGACTGTGCGGATCCTAAGGCAGGAATCGAAAACATTAACGCGCAAAACTCTTGAGGCGTTTTGGATAACTTTCAAAAATCCAAGGATGAAGCGGAAAGACGAATGCCTCACTATCACACGTGACCTGGTGCCCCCTATTTCAAAATGATATTTTGACCCTGGGGTATGTCTCGCTCGCGAATCCACGAAAACAACGCGTAGGCCAGTCCCGCACGTAACATCACGGTAAGTGGCCTTTCTGTTCAATATGGCGCCTATTTAAAAGTTTGATCTTCATTAATGCTTTAACCTTTCTTTCCATATTTCGCAAAATTCCCTGCCGTTAAAAAGAATAGGGAGTAAATGAAATGTCGAAAGACCGACTTTCTATAAACCTCGGCATAGATAGTTCATATATTTATTTATATGATCTTGTAAAGTGATCTTCTTAAGCTCATGCGAGGTGGGTACAGGTCTTCCTTGTCGTTGTGGTTGTTGTTGATGTTGTTGGTCGATGGCTGACGTTTTGGCGACTTCGCCTTTCTTGGAGCCTGGATGTATTTCATATTAGAATATTTTTATTATTCGTTGGAAAGAAACGGGTATGTAATGTATTATAGCATTACAGAAGGGCCCGCATGGTGTGGTGGTGAACGCCGATTTGGACTCTCCCAGATCAATCCGCTGATGGCAAAAGATCGATAGAACTAGTTGAGAGACAGGCAAAACGAAAGACCCGCTTGGTGTGGTGATGAACTAGTTACTCTCCGGAAAGGACAATAGCGTGTTCGTTCTCCACCGTAGACACCTGCGGTCCGGAGTTTTGCAAATATCTTAGCATTATAGTAGTTATACTTCGTAAAAATACCCTGCCGTTAAAAAGAATAGGCGGGAAATAAAAAGGTTAAGACTGTTGATGCAGTTAAATATGATTTCATTCCGATAATTTTGGACCTAGGTGTTGGACCGTCCCGACGGTTATCCACCTCATCGTGGCTGGGAGGTGTTCCTGGGTGTAGGGACTGTGATGTACATCGGGGGATCCATCCATCATCAGGGTCTTCTAAGCTGAGGAATAGTCCGGCGTTTCCATTAAGAAGTCCAGATAAGAGTAAACCAATACCAGCATCCACCAGCGTTCTGGAATCAAGCTAGTTAGGGTGGCAGATCTCCTGATCCACAAGGGCGGCGACTGCCTGTGGTGCTGACGACAGGGCAGACTTTGGCTAGGTTGACATCGGGACTTCAGGGAACCACAATGGCTAAACCAGTAAAACTCCGAAGAAATGGAAATTATGCTGGGGTCCGCAGAACCAGTGAAGAGGGACCGTGCAAGTATCCAAGTAGGTAAGATGGTGAACCAAATGAATGTGACTTTTGTTTTACAGCAGCAAGTTAGTGTGAATATGGATTAAATTGAAGCTCTTGGAAATGCTTATATTTTCTTACCTTTTACTGCCACTATTGAAACGAGTAACTCTTTCTCATTCATATGATGTCGGAGATACTTCGCCGATATAATTGTTAAAAGAACAAAGCCCGCGACCCCGGAGGGATGGAATGTTTGGCGGTCAATTGGCGCGGGGATCGATTTCATGTGTGTGTTGCATGGCGCCTCTGACCACTGCGTTACAAACGCTGTTTCACCATGATTTACTTATTTCAAAATATGTCGAAGTAAATAAGAAAGTCGTAGCTGTAAAATATGCAGTGAATCGCAGTACAACTGGTGTGATTTGTATCACTGCAACGGAAATATAGAACTCCATCACCATTAACACCATCTCACAGAAAACTCCATAGTAGGATGAACGAACTCATTCGAAAAATGCTTTGTTATGAACTATTATGTAAATAAAGTTGGATTTCTCCAACCAAATCCGTGGTGTCGAAGCCATCAATTTGCTCAATACTTTTTAAAACTATCCTTTATTTAGCTTCGTACAAATAGTCAGTGTCTAGTTGTATTGATAAGTTAGCACAAAGTCGCTACAAGACTTTTTGGATTCGAAACATCGCGACTGTGCGGAATACCAAGACGCTGAAACGCCACAACGACCTTCTGTGGAAATATCGTGTTAGATTATCAATAGAGCAAGATATAGATCTGATACAAAGGATATTACAAGAAATTTTAGCACGAGAAAGCAGATAGCAGGAAAGCATGTGGATTTTATATGACATTTCGGGTAATGTGTCCTAACATTCGTAAGTCAAGATGAGGGGTTTGGGTGGCCTCTATGTGATCGCATGGTTGCGAATATATTAACATTCGGGAAGAGGCAAGTGTTTCTCCAGCTTTTTGCAATAGCATCCCTCTTATGTGCGCATAGTCCTTGTGTTGTCAAGCAGTTGCGATTCTGTAGAATGTTACGGTCGACAATCAAACCCTAATTTCGTGGCCAGTTGAAGCAAAACTGATGTCTTAATGAGTTTACGGCAGTGCGTTCTTGTTAGAGGTTAAATAGGATCGCAAAAGATTTGCCATGATGTGTCGGTTATCTTCTACGTTCACATATTTCATTGCTTTGAGTCACTTCATTGGAAGGATCGCTGCATCCTTCTCGTAGTTGTTGTTCTTCAGTTTGACTGAAACAAATGCACCTAAAGTCCTAGCGATGCGAAGCCGTAGATGACACGTCAGCTGCGGAGCAGAAAGACAGTCTAAAACCATCAGCAGTCGTGCCACACACAACCATCGCAGTGGACAGTACAAGATGGAGTTCCACACTTTTACCACTATGACGCATTTTCCCATCCACGTCCAATTCTTAGGTGTTCTTAGAAACGAATCCCGACAGGAACATTTCCTTCCTTTTGAGGATTGTTACTCACGGAATAAATCCAGCTCGGGCATATATTGCTCTTTGTGTATACAAAGTCGTTTTGACCCACCGAATATGTCAGATGTATTCAGTTCAGTGAAACTTGAGACGTGCTGGGCCATCTTGTTCAGCCTTTCCTCATTGAGAGAGCGCGCGTTTCTGTGTGCAATTTTCAGAGTGTCAATTGCAGAGAATCGTTGGTGGTTTCAAAATTGGAACTGTGAACTGTGCATTGTTTACCATTCAGAGGATAAATGATGCCTGTCTGCCGGCATCACCGGCCAGAGTGGAACACTGCACGAGGATTTTCGAGACGGGTTGCTGGCTTCGTACGAACGTATTAGAAAAGAGTCCCACTTTCCCACCGGAGCGTTTTCAGATATTAGCACACCTGCATCACCTGTCATCCGTAGTCCCGTTGATCGTCGAGTGACTCGAGCGGGCGTCAGTAAATCTTCCATTTTTCCCTGTCGCGTGCAAGATTAGCCCACTGGGTTCTGCTCGCTCTAGGGACTCGTCGAGCACCATATCTTTTTCAAGTCTTTTTGTGGAGAACTCTGACCATCGGGTTGGTGGCCTTCCTGCAGTACGTTTGACATCCCGAGGAATTCAGTCACTAAGGGCTCGTGTCCACCGGTTATCATTGATACGCATTACGTGTCTGGCCCACCTTATCTTCGAC